TTATCATTTCTTATAAATACCATTTCTTAACGTAATTTTCCAAGATATTATAGATCATAATGCAAAAAACTAAACTTATCAGAAGTAACAGGCTTTATGTTTCTTAAACTGCACACATTTATTAAAGTCATTATGAAGTTTTAAAACTTTTTAACCAGGAGTTTTATTGTTGGAATGACAAATAGCAAGACTTGCTTTGGCTACTAAGAAAGTTGGTAGCCGGTAGTCAACGGGTTAAGTGGAGTATGGGAGTCCTTACCACTTTACAATTCCAAGTCACTGGGATGGTTGACCATGTAGACACCCTCCTGAATGAGTTCCACAAAGGGTTAGAACCAATCGGTTTAGAGTAGAGTGGTGGTGTTCTGCTGGTGTAGATGAGACGTGGCCTCCTGATAACATTTGCACAACAACCGGAGTTGAGCCTTATCCTTCCTGGAAGATATGGCCTTCTGATACCTTTTACACAACCACGAGAGCTGAGTGAACCAATCAATATAAGTCCTCATACGATTTTGGGTTGTCTATCTTCCTCCCACAATTACTCCACCTGTGTTGTGGGTCACAGCAGTGGTATGTGGGATTGTTACGGTTCCATACTTGAATATTCCTTGTTCCCTCCTCTTGAGGACTTTATTGCCTTTGGATGGTGCCAGCCTGTGCCATGATTTGGGGAGTTGATTCCATGCGATAGACATCATTTTGATACTGGATGTCAATTCCTGGATTGCTAGATCAGAGATGATCCTTATGTCGGATGCTTTCGGAGGGCATCATGTGTGCATATCATGCTACTATTGGTTAAGATATGACCCATGATGATTTACATGAGAGACATGTTGGAATATAGTAATTCCAACATGGGGGGAGCAGAAGGCTTGTGGCATGCATAAAGAAAAAGTTCGCATATAGAGGGCAGCCTTTTCAGTATAGGAAAATTATAACTTTTGAAATTAGGTACTTTTTTTCTGATTAGAAGAGAGCAGTTTGTCATGAAAGAATTCATGAAGTCTCAATTTTAAAGATAACTTGTGTATCTCCAAAAATAAATTTGGCTGTGTTAACAAAATTATTGGTTGGGCAACAATTTAGCTCTTTACCAAGAAAGCTGGTTTCATCATCAGTTGTGCTTGAAGAATAAACAAAGTTTCAATGGTTTGGGTGCAGTGTTGTGCATAGGTTTTGTATTCTTGAAATGGTTAGTTTTGTTAATGACAGGCAGAATAGTGATGTTCTGTTTAAGTATTAGAGGGATGAGTATTTGTATTGGTAACTTCAGAGGTGGAAAGCATTTGTGCTGTTTTGGGTGATGATAGATTTAAGGTACAGGTTCCTTCTTTATACCTAATAGAGTTGAAGTCAGTGTTTTTCTAGTTAGGTCTTTTAAATTAAGTCATTTTTTTTTTGTAGAGTCTGTTTATGATTGGGCCTTTGCTTTTTTATTATTTACATTAATGATATTGATAGGAGAAAATTAGTAAGGTTTATTGGTACATTGAATTCTTGGATATTTCTAGCTGTATTAAAAATGTTGAGATAATACAGTATGACTTGAATCAATTGGTAAGTTGGAAAAATACTTCAAAGACAACCTTTAGTTTTATTAAGTGCAAAGTAATCGACTTAGCTTATCATATTTTTTGGTAGCACATTTAATATAAATTGAAGCACATTCAATATCTTGACTGGATAAAAAGGATTTTGACATAAAGGTAGAAAAACCACTCAAGACATCAAAGGAGTCCTCAATTGCTAGCAGTAAACCTAATAGAATTTTAGTATGTGGTTATAGAAATATTGATTACAAGTCAAATGAGGTAATTATCTCTACAAGAATCACTAGGTAGGTCTCACTTGGAATACTGTATATAATTTTGGTCTCTTTATCTAGAAAAGGATACTGATTTGCTGGAAATTGTTCATAGAGAACCTAAGTGTATGATTCTTGTAATTTGATAGTCTTCCATGTCAACTTGAGCCCTGAAATTAGGATGAGAGGACACAAGATTTGGAAAAAGATGGGCTAGACTCCAGTAAATACAGTTTTATTTTCTAACAGGATGATTAGCTTTAGGAATGAGTTGCTGTTGAAGTATTAGAGGCTAGCATTTTAAAAATTTACAGAGGAATTAATGATTGCTTGAAAAATAAAGAGTGGGTTTAAATTTTTTTTCAAGGCTGGATGTGTAAGAATAGCTTTAATTTCAAAGAATTATTACTAATGTTGTGACTGTTTCTGCTGTTGAACAGGAGTTCTTTTGGATTGTTTATTACAAAATACTGCAAGGTTCAGTCCGTGTAATTAATCCTCTTGCTACAGACATCTTTTTCTGCATATATCACGAGGGTATTGTGATTTGCATTCAAAATTTAATTAAACTACTTTGTTATCATGGTATATGAATAAATATGGCATAAAAATGTGGCTAATAATCCAAATGTTAATATTATATATTTAATTTTATGAGGCAGTATTTAAAACAAAATCCTGAATTTCCCCTTGTATAGGAATTGTGACATTTGCTCTTTAGGTATCTTCTTTTGTTTAATTTATTTACTCTTCTGAGATGAATGAAATTTAACTTAAATTTTTTCATTATAATGTCATCATCATTCAGGCAAAGTATTATCTTTATAGCCTTCAGTCTTATTTGGTTACAGAGCCATAAAATAGAAAATCAGACCCCCTCTTGCTATGCCCACCTGTTCAAACTTTAATCCCATGGGAAACACATCAGCAAACTTAGCTCAATTTTTTAATGGCTCTTGTCACATAGTTAGAAAGCTAGAAAAATTGTGATAGTTATAGAACATTGTTTGCTTTTTGTGTGTTAGTATTCTGTGTTCTTTGATCCATTTTTGAATTAAATAAAAAATGATTTAGTTCAGTGGTACCATTAGTATAAAAAAGTAGGGTTAAGTTTCATTGACAGTCAACAGCGAAAAAAGAAGACCCAGGTAGGTACTATATTTCTTGTTTTTCATATGTATTCTTTATCTATTAGTATAAAAACAACTAAAATGTACAACAATTAGAAACTTTTTAGGCTAGATTAGGTAAAATAATGAATATTAATAATAATTATTGCAAGGTACACTTGTGAGCAACTCATGAGTAGCATGTACATTATGTAATTCAATAGGGTTTGCTAGTTGATTTACACCTGTGATGGGAATATTAGTTAGACATGGTTCAAAGAACAATGAAACAATAAAATTTAACTATAAACAAATGTATACTGTTAGGAGTTTAAAGCTATATAGGATAAACAATATGAACTCATTCTAGAAAGAAAAAAATGGATAATTTAGAATTACAAGGTTGAAGTATTTTTACTAAAAATTTCTCCATGAATATATGGAGTCAAACTGTTGACTGCTCTGAGTGCAAAATAATTTTCATGTTAAGGTTAAAAATACCATTTTTCATCTGAAAAATCTCAAATTTCCTTTGCAAAATCTGTAATATCTCTTAAATAAATATCAAACATTTTTTCAGTAAAACATTATATTTTATCTTTTGTTTTATATACTATAACTCTATAGGAGGTTGGTCAATTTGACCAACCTCGTAACCACTTTAACACTTTCAATGCAGCTGCTTTAACTGCACATGGAATTTTTGCGAGCTGTAAACTGTATACAACATACTAGCATAAAACTTTCAGGGGCAAACCATACCCTATAGGGTGAACCAGGAGTCATTAGGTTAAAAATTATGATCTTTTGTCTACAAATCACTCTTAATGCTTACTGAAAGCTTGTGAAATATCATGAAGAGACTCAAAACATATGAGAAGTTATAGGATGGAAATTAAAGGGTAAAGTTTTGGGTCGAATCAACCGGGCCTGTAGAGAGAGAGTTAAAATATAGTTATTATATTTTTTCTACTACACCTTTTTTTGTTACCTTAATGTTTGATCACTGATAGACCATTCATAGCATATGCTAACCGAACACTTTCACTTAATTGTAGGTGCAGTACTTCTTTTTGGTTCATTCATCTAAGTTAAAAAATATAAACTACAATAATTACATGTATTTGTGTAATGTGCTTGAAAATTTGTGTTAAAAGACAATAAATGTCATTGTTTTTGTTACTTCTAGGCTAACACTGATGTTTTAGTGGGAGTGAAGGCTGAACTTGATGCTCCTGAATCATCACAACCAAATCGGGGAAGATTAGAATTCTTTGTAGATTGGTTAGTTGCTTGATAAGTTATTCATGTTTAATCTAGTAAAAAAATATATATATGTTTCTTTTAATCTGTAGGTAAAGAAAATGTGATAGCTTCATGACCTATTAAAATTTAATAAATGCTCATAAATAAACTTACTTTCTGCACTGCTAAGAATCATTACTGTTGTAAAATTTTCTACATATTCCACAAGTCTTGAACAAACTCCCATCACTATATATTACTATGTGTATTGTGTTAGTAGCCTATGACATAAGCATCATAATGTTGTAGCCCTCCTCCAATTAGGAGAGCGACATCAACCTTCATATTCAGTAATCCCGATGAGCACTAGCACATGATCATAGGGTATTTCTTTCCTTGGTAATGCCTGTGTTCAGACATGTTTTTTCATGTTTCATTTTGAGTTTTTAGTCACTTTGATTGATTCCCTTTCTTTCCTTAGTGTTACATTTTTTATTGTTACATTTTCATTCCTTCCACATTATTGCAACATAGTTTTTTCTACAGCTACCACAAACAAAACAAAATAAAAATTGTTGCTTGTGGTTTGCCAATTTACCATGAATTCTCAAATCAAAGTTGCCTTTATTTCCTGTGGCCCAGGTGCTCCTCTTCAGGAATCTTCTATATCAATGGTGGCTAGTTTCCTGACTCACTAGACCATGGGTCAGCTACCTATACTCAGGAATCACATCATTATAACAGCTCTCCTATTCCTTGTCCAGTTGTTTCCATTTGCCCCTCCCCTTAGGGCAGGCTGTTGTCTTTGGAGCTGATTCTTGGCACTGGACCTGTCAGCACCTGCCTCTCTCGCTTTGTACACCTGTGATTTCCCTTCACCAGCAACTGCTGAGTTGTGTAATTTCTCTCTCATG